ACACGAGTTTTTTCACAAGCGGGTCAACTAAAATAACAGAAATGTCGCTCGGTCAGTGCACTATTCTGAATTGATTCAGTCATTTGGTTTAAATTACTGCCTTGCTTCACAAGTTTAGGTGTAGGCGGGTATCACTATCATTGACAATATTAAGTGCTAATAACTGTCAAACATTACAAACCGTAGTACTCTCCGACTGTGAACGGAAAGTTTAAGGAATGCGTGGTTCTACAAAATGAGAAAAGTCTACGCCCCTTGACACTTTTTCCCATATCACATGATTAGATTCACACAAGCACCAAAAATGGATTGCAACGTGGCCTTGATCTTAACTGAAATAGCTAGCATAAGGAAGAAGACGAGTCGAGCACCGGATCAATTCATTTATTGTCCTAAGCTTTCGGCTCCACGCGAGAAGCCATCGTCAGAGAAAATGAGAAAACAGAAAGTGTTGGCTACACGTGAATGGGGTTGGTAGGAGGAGGGAGGGGGGGGGTAGCACTTGTGCTTGGTCCATGTCCACGCCGCGTCCATTCCCACGCTATTTTATCGCGTCTCCTGCGCGCGCCCCTGGAGTTACGGCGTGTGACTTTGACGTGGCAGCCTGCACGTTTGTAGAGAACTGGTTTCTGTTCGCGGGCACAGATGGCAAAATAACAGGGCGGGTCATGAACAGCACTTAATGTCGTGCCTTGTCCCCACGGTAGAGGGTCCTGGTAGCTCTGTCTCATCTTCCGGCCGGTTCGTTGTGGGGTCCTCTTCGCTTGCCATAGCTAGCGAACTAGCTAGTTAATGTCTAATGAATAGCGAACATCATAAATTGTGCAAAGTTATTTAGGCCTATGTTTCAAGCGAAGCGGTACTGAACATTCCTTCTAGGTCAATGCCTCACAAATCCCGGTGCATCCATCCTTGCAGGTATGGTGAGCATTGATAACCCAACATTCTTCTTGAATTGTCAGACTTTTAAATCAGACATAATCCTGTGAACACCACCTAGACTGTCTCGAAATCGAATTTCTACCTCCATCAGCTCAAGTTATATTAGAACTGTTTCGACTCTCTAACGGCACTGTCTGAGGACTGTTTTCCTTTCCTAGAAACCCGGAGATAATGTTGGCGCCCTGCAGCAATCCCTTGACGCAGTCTGCAAACAGTTGGTCACCGAGGCCGTTCTCCGCCTATCCGGCGACAATGTCACTTGTATCCTCATCCTTCTCCTCAACCCTGAAATGCCTTATGGATCCTCTTTTAACCCTTCACCTCCTCCGCCACCTAATCCATAGGCTCGGCACCCTCGCTTACTCTGAGCTACAAAGACAAAAGCCACATCATCATTATTCACTTTTTGGTCTTCTTTGTCCCACTTTTAGCTGTCAGTTGCATTTTATCCATTTGCGCGCTTCAAAAATAGAACTTGAGTGGACGCTTATTTTATGTGATTCTTGGTCAGCCCTTTTATGCTGAATAGTCTGGATTCGTTCAGCTAGGGCATCGCTCATTGATAAGCCAATTTGCAGCAGCCAGCCGATGGGAGCTATTACTTCCCGTTGTTGCGGTCAATTTCGGGCGGGAGGGGAAAGGAGTAGCGTTCTCATCAGAAAGCTTTCGGACGTAAACTGAACAGGAAACCTGCTGGTGTATTATTCTGAGGACCAACAAAGTGATTGTCCTATTATCTCTGCGAAGGGTTTAGTCTTCTCGCTCCTCAGTCCAGCATGCCCTCCTTGTTACTAGCCAATGCCCGTGAGACTTAATTAATCCTAAATTGTGATTGGACGCTCTCCAAACTGCCAATACAAGCGAACATGCCAGTCCCAGGAAGTAATTGAGAAGAAAAAGACCATTCAGTCGCCGTGAGAACACTTTTATTCGGCCGACGTTTCGACATCCGCCGCGGATTCTTCATCAGAGATATGAGCAGAAATTGCAGTGTTTATAGGACACAGTCATTATTGAACATGTAGGACAAACAACGACAATGAGCGATAATTTCCCTCTTTTGCATGGATTGGTTGATGACCGGCATGCAGGCTATGATTGGCTGAACTTGCATCACATGCGGTGGAAGTGGACGTGATGATTTTTCGGCCATCTGGTACCCCGGCGTTGGGAGTTATTGTGAATTTTTGTTATTTGTCATACGTATGCCGTAATGACTGTGTCCTATAAATGCTGCAACTTCCCGTGCATATGTTACCCGTTTCTGTTCATGTCTCT